GTGGGTGGAGTGGCGCCGGCAGGCAGCCAGCCCTCTTTGGACTTGTCAAGTGGGTTCTTGTCAGCTGGGTGCAGGTGGCAGCCTGCCTTGCCCTTGGCCATGGCATGCAGGTGGTTTTCTTGCTTTGGTCTTGGATCTTGTTCTTTTGCATCTAAGTCCTGGTGCAAAGATGCTTTCGAGCTGCATTGCAAAGTGTTCTCCTTGTCAGCTCTGCGAGGAGGGGTCACCGCAAAGCCAGGATCCCAGGACTCTTCCGGCAGAGCCCTGAAAGAGCTCTTTTGGGACCCCAGACAGCTGTCTAAGCTGTCCTCACTGCCATTCACATTTGCCACTTTGACTGAGATATAACCTTCCACGAGAGTCTTACCTGCTAGGTGCTCTTTATTGTCCTCACACTTTCTGACACCAGCTTCTTGCTCGTGTCCAGCAGCTTGCTGCCCTTCCAGGCTCTTTGTGGCATGATGGAAATTCAAAGAGGAAGAGTTCAAGGTGCTGAGGTATCCTTGGGTGGAGCTATCCTTTGGACTAGCAGAGCGAAGCCTGGTGACGGGGAGCTCATAGAAGTCCCTTCTCAAAGCAGGACTGGAGCTCTCTGCTCTGTCCAGAGACTTCAGTTCCGCTGGCTGCTTCGGGACTTGTCCCATAACATGCAAGGGGCCATCGGACCCTGACTGTCCTGGGTCCAAGGCAGAAGGGAGCTTTGATTCAGTACAAATAGCACCCTTATCCTGATTTTCAGTGCTTCGCTGGCTACAACCAGAGCCACAAGTAGAGGCCTCCATGGTCTCAGATTCAGACAACTGCTGGCCGTCAGAGTCTGGTTGTACTTCAGTGTATATGTCGTTTAGCACACGAATGAACTGCTTCTGGTGATGTGTACACAGTCTGACCATAAATTTTTCCAGTGGAGACTTCGGCTGATTGTTAGAGTCTATTGCTATTGTCTCTGCTGCATCCTCACTAGAGAGACAAAGAGAGAAGGAATCAGTAACATATCCCAGGGAATAAAAGTCTATGCTGCAAAACCAGAATAACCCTGCTCCTCCCACTTATGCACAATGCTTGCCTGACCTCCAGGTGAGATCAAGCATCCTGTTTTCCTGGGGCTGGCAGGTGGTCCCTTCAGTCCCAGCACGCACACTTGTGTGTGCATACTGCTGGCAGGACACGGACTGCGCTTTTCTTTGTCTCCCACTGCCAGAGCATCCATAATTACACTTCTGCCTAGGACATCTCAGTGTCTAGGTACCATGTCACATGTTCAAAGCGAACCTAAAATGAAGCAGATTTAGTATCTGCGCATCACCCAGTGTAGAAGGTCCAGCACTTCTGGGACCCACCAGGATGGCTGAATACCTCTGCACACTCACTCTGCACTGCCAAACTAGGTGGGAGCACAGCAGCATCCCAGCTGGACAGCCAGATGCCAGGAATCTTGAACTATTTGAAGTCATCAAATTCTGCTTATAACTCAGTGGCAGAGGATGAACTGGGACAAACTGAGATCTGAGCCTCCTCTGTAATCAGTACAGCAATTTTGGTGAGCTCCCAGCCTGCAGGATGTGCGGACAGCAACACACCCCGTGGAGTGCAGTGCTGTGCCATTCACACTGACCTTTGATTAGCTGCCATTTAATAAAGCATTTCTGCAGCTGATGGGCTGTCAGCACACAGTGGTGGTGCAGAAAGGTGGGCTTCTACAACACATAGGCACTGCTGCTAGCTAATGCTCAAACCTGCTTGGCAGAGGTAATTAATAAGGGCTTACTGGCAGAGAGGTTAAGGGATAATTACCCAGTGTTTGCATGAACTCCTCAGGAGTGCCATGCCAGGTGCTGTTATCGAGACCATATCTGCTCCCAACGGCAGCACAGGTGATTCCCACCCAGTCCTGACTACACCAAGGGGACCCCGCACCTTGGCACCCACACTGCCTGACACAGGATCTTTGCCAGCAATGTCAGGTTGCTTTGCAGTAACAGTTGCACTTTGCACCTCTTGGCCTTGTACTTGAGGAGCGAAAGTCCTTTCTTCCCCTATAGCTTTGCTCTTCCATGCCAGCATCAGACACTGACCTCACCCACTCGTCTGGGTTAAGGGGGGTGACACCTATCACAGGGTTCAGGGCCTTAGTGGGGAAAAGCAGCTTCATCTGGAAAGGGGTTTCCCTCTCCACACTGGCAGGCACAGGACTTGACAGGTGGATGAGGAGGAAGAGCCCAGCTCAGAGGAGCCATCAGCAGAGAAACGGATAGGGGACAGCCAGTATGCTGAAGCCAGCCCTGGGCAGCCCTCACCTGCTCCTTACTTACTGCTTGTGGCTGCTTTCTTTGAACTGACAAGCACTGGAGAAGCACCTCCAGTGTCCTGCTTCCCTCGGCTGATGGGCAGGGACAGCCATCTGTGCCCGCTTTGGGCTCAGGGCTGGCCAGGTCTCCTCTTCACCCAGAAATGCCAGGCTGCAGCCAAGCCTGCCCTGAGCAGCTGCTAGCCAGCTCTTTGCTTTCCAGTTTGCCCAAGCATGACGAGTTTTAAGCATAACGAGGCTTTGCCTCTCAATCACAGCCACTCGGTTTCCTTAAAGGCTTCTTGGGCAGGGTTTTCCCAAAACCACCTGGAAAGGCTGAGTGAGTTCAGCACACCGAATATATTCTGGCACCTCCAGAATGTACTCCCAGGGTTAGAGATAAAACAACATACCTTGAGACTGCTTTACTACACCCAGGTGAGAAAAATGCCCTCCAGCAACCGTCTCGACTGGTTCTACCTGGTGCTGCGATGGCTTTCAATTTGCAACGCCTGGGATTAGTTTAAATAAAAATATTCAGGTATAACCTGGCCCCTCGCCAGAGCCCTGCATGGGAAGGGTTGTCAGCCAGGATCTATTACATAGCCCAGCTCCTCCCCTTGCCCTGCTGAATAACAAAAGGGATAAAAAACCTTTCAACGTCCCTGGGCTTGGAGCAGGAGGGTTCTTGAAGAGGCAGAGCTCAGCATAATTTTTTTCCACCTTTGGCAAAGAGGGTGGTTACTCTTCCCTCACCTGCTCACAAGCCCAGCTCTGAAGAGCAGCAGCAATCTTCCCCCAGGGAGCCTGAATTTATAAGAGCAGCAGCAGAGGTGGGGCCCTGCCCCAGCCCATCCCACCACCACATTTCCTGGACAGCTGTGGGAAGGAGTTATGGTGGCAAAACAGCTAACTCCCTTCTTGCCAGCACACCTTTGGGTGCCCTGCTCGTATGGCAGAAGGGACCTGGGCTCCCTGATCCTAAAGGCTCCAGTGACATTTCTGCCTGGCCTTCACCTTGTTTCTCCTTCTGAAGTGTGACTGAGGCCTTGGTGCTCATTGTCACCTTAATTACCCCACTGTACTTCAAGGACTCAGAGATACACACAGCTTGTCAAGCTTTAAATTTAAAAAGCAGAGATAAATATTTTTTCCTGCTTGATAAAGGAAATGATTGCATTCAGCTTCGATGCCCTTTCTCCTTAGAAGACCCGTCTCACACTCGGTGACACAGTTCACCTGCTTCTGCAGACATGTTGTGTCAGAGTCCTCTGCTATCATGCCACCTTGGCTCCAAAATGAGCTGCAGCTTCTCACCTTGAGCTCATCTGCTCCTGCAGTACCCAGCTCACTGCTGTTTACAGGCAGTATTGCCTTTTTCTGTGTGTCTGAGGATAACCTCGGGACAGAGTTCTCCATGCCACCTGCAGCAGTGCTCTGAGCATCGCTGGGTCCCACCTCTGTCCTTCCTCTCCCTGCCCCTGGAGGGTGCTGAGCCACAGCTTGTGCCTCTCTATTCCCAGATCTTCCAGACACAGCTCTGTGCTCACTGGGGCCTGCTAATCTGTGTGCCTTGGTGCCTGTACAGCATTTCCCACCATTCCTGTCTGTTCTGGCTATTACTATTAAATAAAACATGCCATGGGCATTCTCTTGCCAGGCAGCCAATGGACGCAGG